AATATTTGGATCATCAGACTCATGACACATCAGTAACAGTACGACCTTACGACAGTTTCTTGGTTCTTTTCCATTTTGTATTTGAAATACTTGCTGTTATCACACATATAAATAACACTCAACAAGATTTTGTTAAAAACTTACAAAGTAAAATATTTGCCCCTGTTCTATCAATTACCAATGAACTAATAAAACTGATATATGGATTGGTTGACTGAGATGCTAAGGGAGATGAAAAGGGAGAAATTTAATCATTCAGCTTTAGTTTTGTGCTCAACAGGCCAAGTAAATCCTTTTTATAGGAAGCTTGAGAAAATTAGGGACATTCTTCTCATAAAATATTCCTAATTTCACAGCACAACCCCACTGAAAACAGGAATCCAAATGTGTGGGAGAAAACAAACTAGGTACAATTTATAGTATAACACTGCCATCTACTGTGCATGAATCAAACCAGTCATAAAAACACTGCTGTGTGTATGGATGCATATCAATCGCTTTGGTTCACGATTTTATAAAAATACTTAAAACTAAAGTTAATTGAAAGCTGTGCTGTGTCCCAAAACTGGGTTTTATATAATATAAAAAATAATATTATTTATACAGGGACTTACATTCATTACAGTGATGATTGTCATCTCACTGGTTAACTGTATTTTTCATTCTTCTCTTGTATTACACAGAGAATCTCTGAACCTTTTCTAGCTAGTGATGGCATTTATGTCCCAAAAATGTAATGATTGGCAAATAAAGGGGTATCCTGTCATATTAGTATTGCACTTCTGAGGGACAGTTAAAAAAATGTCAAGAAACAATGCAGAAAATGCTAATGTATCCTGACTTTTATTTCCTAGATTGGTCAAGCTTCATAAACACTGCACCCTAAACTTCCATTATGCAACTGAATTATATATTTTGTTAGACTCCTGACAAGCAGTCATATCTCTCCTAGAATTTGTAGTCTCCAAGATTACTCATGCGAAGTGACTGGAGTGTTTTTCCAAGACTTGAGAAAGCACCTACAGAGCTGCTACATACAACGGTTTTCACAGATTTCACAGAATTGTTTTCACAGATTGTGTAAACAATTTTATAAGCATGGACTGCCAAGCATGAACTGCCATAACATACATTCAAAGTTATACAACACTCTTTGACACAGGTAATAATGCTCACCATCTCATTATGGGAATAAACAAAGTTGTGTATATGGATCAATGATAAATTAATGGATTTAGGATCCTCCCAAATAGAGTACCCTGCAGTTTTATTATGAAACTGCAATAAAAACAAATACCAGCAAGATGACATTGTATTAAATTCATGTAATTAATCTATTAATGATAACACAACAGAGCTGTAATAGATAATAGATAATAAACCACCATTATGTATTGATACAAGACAATGCTGCCACCCAATGAGCACAGGGTGAAAATGCATGAAAAATTATTTACGGTATTCTTTATTTGTGAATGATGGGTTGGGGTTAATGTGAGGGTGTGAAAATTTTTAGTTTTTTTTTATTGTTGCTTTTTCATGCCACAATTCAAGAAAAGTAAGAGAAGACCAACCAATGTTTTGTCAAGGTTTAAGAACAAGATACTGTTACTGATACTACAGACAAGGCTGTAATTGGTGTATATTATTATGCTTTTTGTTAGTTTAAGGTTGTTAAAGGTTTTAAACAATAATAAGATATAGTTGAGTAATGCATCCTGAGCAGAGAACAAAGTCACCACCCCTCTGTATGTGTTGCGATCCGAGTTTCTCTCTTCTTTGCTTTGCTATCCAGTCCAAACACGCATGCATGTTAGTGCATGTGAGTCACTCTTGTTAAACCGACGGCCCTGCCTACGATTATAAACACACAGGGACCCCCCACACGCAAGCTGGCAGAGTGCAGTATGCAGCGTTCCAGAATTTCCTCCAGTGAAGAAGCCACGTTTTTCAGCTAAAAAGGCCTCCAACAAATACATAAGACCAGAGCATAGGCAGACTGGCCATGGGGACCACTGGCTCAAATCCCAGTTGGCCAGTGGATCATCAAAAGATCCATTAAGTTTCTTAAGTTTCTTAAGTTTCTTAATTTTCTTCCGGCTTCGTCAGTCTTTACCAGCTCCATTAGTGTCATTCGAGCTGGTCCCAGTGGAAAAGTCCAATGCTGAATTTCTTTCCCAAGCCGACTGAGGATCCAATACTGGTCTGGCTTTTCCAAGGTGGAGAGCCCTATGAGCTGCTAAAGGGCTCCAGCTTGACTCAGAACTGGCTTTTCTTCTTCTCTATGCAAAAAAAAAAACTTGATGGGCATATAATGCTACATGTCTGTTTTCATTATTGACCAGTTACAGAAATCATGATAACATTAGGCTTACTTATCGTGGATGCCTGGGTTTGGTTGTGGCCGAACGGAAGCTGGAGGTGTGGCAAAGCATTTGTTTTGGTCTGAGATGCTTGTGGTCTGGTGTGACATCTAGTGGCACGGACAATCATTTGGACAACTTCAAAGAATTTCAATACTTGAGATGTTTTTTGCTGACATAATTAAATTGAATACTTTGGTTTAAAAGGAAAAAAAGGAAGAAAAAAACAAGTGACAGTCAAGAGAATCTCACCTAAAGAACTGAAGGAGAGTTATCTTAGATCAGAAGTTCAGTATAAACACCTTATTTGTGATGAAATACTGTGCACCACTTTCATTGATCTAAAATCCCACAGTTCCAACAGAATAACTAGATACTATATACTATAATATCAACTTACAGAAATGGTCATAATTACGCAGGATTTTGACTTCTCTCTAAAGCACTTTCTCATTCTTCACATGATTTCTTCTGTCACTTTTCATATGTAAAAACAAGTCCAACACTATGAATGCCATTGAGGAAAGATTGCCCAAATGTGTGTTGTTATTCCTGTATTTGAAAGATTATTGTGTCTCACCCCTTTCAATGATGGCAGGCTATTGTCCCTAACTTCGATAGTGTCCTTTCTGAAGAGATAAAACCACATTTGCCTTTACCTGTCCCAGTTAGCCTCTACAGGAAGTCACATGCCTTAGGGTCAAGTTTTGCTCAAAAAGAAGTAGTGCATATGATAGATTATCCAACTGTCAGAAATCAAGTGGGTGTCTAGTTCCTCCAGATAGCCACATTCAAAGGAAGAGTGAGAAGCTATCCATGCTAGAGAGGGGGGAAAGGCAATATCCTCTCTCCTGGAAGGCATTCATTGTGTTTTACTCCAGTGTTCACATGAAAAGTGATAGAAACAAACAAAAAAAGAACACTAGAGAGCAACATAGATAATTTGTCCTCGATTCTGATACGACCCATAGGAGTGTTTCCTGCATTAGCGCACTTACAGTGGCAAATTATATTAGAAATCTCTGTAAAAAATAAATATCTAACCCTTTTACATTATGACAGTGCTATGATAAAGTTTTTGACTGCCCATGTTAAAGTCAAACGTTTTGTCGAATAATCCATCCACCTTGACCTCTTGGCCTACGCAGACTTTGTGTCGCTCTACAAGAGCCTGACTTCTTCCTTTGATCTCATCATAATTGCTACAGCCAAAAGAGAACTATCTTACATACATGTAAACACTTCATTTTGGGAATGGTCAGACACGGCCCCCCAAGCTCCTCACTCTGTGACAGTGATATAAACATTGAGAATTAAAAGGGATACTGTCCTTTAGTTACTATACATACATCAACGTCATACACATTTGTGTGTGTCTATTTAGCTTTAGGTTATTTCTAACCCTTGTCCTTAGATTATCATTAGAATATTAAACCCCCTATAATGGTCTGATATAATTATGCTAATCACTTTTAACTGTTAAGGCTAATAGATGAGAGAACTTACCATTAAATCATTTTTAAGTTGAAATAAAACCCCAGGGATTTTGTTTGGTGTTATAGTTTGGAATACACACTTTTGTGTTTTTGGTCTTCACAATATACATTCTCCTTGGTGTTACCCTCAACATCCCCCAGGAACTTTAGTGAAAGAGGGTGGTAATGCTCTTACAAAGGTTGATCTTGGTGTGCACTGGGACACAGGTCATGGGGCATGGAGTTGCGTCCTCTGTTATCAATTGACTGACAGAATAACTGGAGGATTAGAAAGAAGAAGGTTGAGAATTAACCAAAGTGAAAGTGAAGAAAAGGCAAATCGGCAATTCTTGTACATTCAAATGTTAGTTATTCAAATACTTCTAAGCTCACAGACTTTACAAATTTACCTATCTCTGAGGACTTGAACCAAACATAATGTTGGTATAGAGTTCCTCTGGACCTACATGTGGCAAACTGGGGTGATAACTTTCATAAAGAAATCTTTGTACTGCTTTGAGAGTTAAAACTATACTTCTGAATCAGTCAGCCATGTACATTAACCATGGTCAAATGCAATGTGACAGAGGCTCTTTGTTAATACAGTTTTAATCTTTACATCAAGCCTTTAAGAAGCAGAATTGTTATTTGTGGATAAGAAAAGTTATGCAAAATGTGCTTTACACAAACTGGCCAATAAAAAACTCAATCTCAGACAAAATCTGTTTGAAAAAGAACTCAAAAAAGAGGGAGAGGCAGTGGGAGCAACCGAAAGCACCTTTACTCTGGACATTTTCCAATTAGGCTGTGGCTCGCCAGCAGATCAAAGCTAGGATAATCCTGGGGCTGGATGGCATGGCTACTAGTATATGGACCTAAATATGAGAGTGAGAACCAATAGGGAGTCAAGTTGACAAATGAGTGTGTCAGTGGGAGTCACAGGTAAGGAAGACAAGGTTGGAGCAGAAAAGAAAGAGATGAGAGTATAAGGGGAAGATATGAAAGAGATAGAGAATGAAGCTGCACTGAGCGTGTACCGGGGAAGGAGTGGGAGGAGGGGAGGCTTGTGGTTGGTGCTCTGGTGTGTGACGTCAGCAGCTTGTTGGATTGAGGTGCTGTGTCCTGCTGATTTTAATCCTAACTCATTAAGGAACAGAGAGCAAGTGCCTGTGCAAGCCCTCTGGGGAGAGAGAGAAAGTGACAAGGGAAGGAAGGAACACTAAACAATCCATCAAGAGAGATAAGTGGAGCTAATTTACGACTTGAGACACGGAAAAGGGGAGAAATCAAGCACTTTATTTTTTGCTTTTCAGTTTCATGCCTGCTTTCCCTTATTACCGTTTCCCTTGTTTGTCCTAGATCTCTTTATTCGCAATCTTAACGTGCGGCCTGTTCAAGCATGCCCACAAACGGAATTAACAGGGCCCTGAAGCTGCAGTTTGGCCTCATCAACTATGAGAACCGCTACCTGACAGCTGAGGCCTTTGGCTTCAAGGTGAATGCCTCAGGCACCAGCATGAAGAAGAAACAGATCTGGACCTTAGAGCAGGATGAGCAAGATGGCCAAGTAGTGTTCCTCCGCAGCCACCTGGGACGCTATCTGGGCTCTGACAAAGATGGGAAGGTCATATGTGGGGCAGAGAAGCCTGACCCTGACTGCCGGTTCCTTATTGTGCCCCAATCAGATGGTCGCTGGGCACTGCAATCAGAGCCTTACCTGCGTTACTTTGGAGGCTCGGCTGACTACCTGTCCTGCTTTGCCCAAGTCATTGGGGAACAAGAGCTGTGGGCCGTCCATCTGGCTTTACACCCACAGGCCAGCCTGCTCAGTGTGGCACGTAAGCGCTATGCCCATCTGTCTGCTTCAGATGGAGAGATCTCAGTAGACAGCAACATTCCCTGGGGAGTGGACTCCCTGGTCACCTTGGTATACCTGGACGGAAAGTACAGCCTGAAGACCTGTGACAGCCGTTTCCTCAGCAATGATGGCAAACTGGTGAAGGAGAACACCAATACAACTAGCTTCACACTGGAGCTGAAATCTGGCAAGCTGGCCTTCAAGGACTGTGATGGGAAATATCTGACCCCGGTGGGTCCCACAGGAACACTGCGTTCTGGCCGATGCTCCAAGCCTGGAAAAGATGAGCTGTTTGATCTTGAGGAGAGCCATCCACAAGTAGTTTTTCAAGCCGCCAATAAAAGATTTGTCTCGGTCAAGCAAGGTAATCAGCTTGTGATGCAGTCTTGAGAAGAAGCAAATTTTCATGTAATCACATGTCTTCCTTATCTAATGATAAGTTTGATATTAACAAACTGAATATCTTCATTCAGAAAATGTATTTGAGTGTTCCACTGATAGAATGAATCGAGTAGTAAAAGCATTAAAGTTAAAATGACTTTTCACCTAAAGCTTACTAGCTTGCTCATGTCTTCAAAATGAGGCAAGGTAAAGGTGTCTTCATGGTTACAAATTGTCATGCAAACAATATCACAAACATATAAGCTAAAAATAACGAACTACTTCCAGAGGCTCTCTTTTCTCTTTTGATGAAATGAAGAAAACAGCAATTTCCTCCACTATGACTTGCAATCACTATATAAGTCCTTGAGCACTTTACCACACCGTTAGCATGTGAGACTGGGTGAGACCATTTTTAGATTTATTTAGAGAGGCAAAAAAGTGTTGCACTAAATTTTCCAGTGACTCATTGCCAACCTCTTGGTAAGATAAAAGTTTTGTTTTTTTCCCCTCACTGTCCTTGTTACATCTTTTGGGTAATGTTAATTTCAGATCAGCAGTCTTCTCCCTTCAGTGGTCTTCTGTCTCATTTCAGCATTCTGTTCTCTGCATTTCCCTGAGTTTTGCAAAGCTATTAGAAAACAGAGGCTCATTTTAAAACAGCATTTTTAAAACAAAAGCGATCTCTGTCCAGATAAGCATTTTCGTTCTGTATCATAAATAATCTCCATCCACCCCTGAAAATACACATAACATGACCATTTACATACACTGGACATGCGTGTGTGTATACAGGAAGTAGATTATCCAGTAGCGTTTCCAAAAATGTCCATTTCAGAGCCTTAAAAACCCTGGAGCAGTATGGATGGCAGGCGTAGACATAGCAAAAGTGATGCGTTTTATAAGTAAAACACATTAGTGTGGAGTGAGGTTAGCTAGGAGTGTAGCCTTAGCCTATGTAAAATAGCTAGACAACATAGTAGAGTAGGGTACTTGATATAAATTTTGACAAATAAGAATCCTGAGTGGAGCAGTATCACTGTTGGGTGGAGAGTGAATTCAAATATCACACAGTGTATAGTAATGAAGGATTCAAAACAACTTGAAATGACCTGGATTTATTTGATTGAATCTTTTCAGTTACATTACAGTAACAAAAAAAGCAAATCAGGAACATTTACCAGCTAATGAGAAAAAGCCCTGCCTTTCTTGTCTTGCTGGATCCAAAGTGGCTGACAGTCATACTGTGGAGGTAACTGTGGTAATGGGCTTTGTCATTTCCACTGTGTGTCCATTGAAGATTAAGCAGTGTGCAAATGACTCTAGGGCAGATCTGTGCCCCATGGGTGTCAATTACCATCAATGGACTTTAAGCCTTGCAGCTACTCACTCTTTACTGTCATCCATCGAGTGAAGTTCTCCAGATTATGAGGATCTATACTTGGCCAGTGTGGCAATGAGGTGGCAGCAAAATAAGAGCTATAGCCAGACATATCAGTAACAAGGACTCTTTACAACCGCATGACGTGACCCGCTCTGTTCTGTTTAATTATTCAAGCAAACAATGTGGGAGAACAGTGGAGCAAATTGTGTTGTGTTACAGCTTTTTAAAGCTTTAAAACTATATTAAAACAGTTTTTACAAGCCATACTGTAGGAAAGCTTTACTGTTGTATTTGTGAACTAGCTGTACAATATACAAGGTTATGAAACTAACTTTAGACAGCAGTCATCATTATGCTTATACATGAATAAAACTCTGTCTTAAAAAAGGTCACTATCAGGGCAATATTTCAACAACGTGGCCATCCTCCATCCTCATAACATAGGGGCAAAGAATTTAATTTTTAACTGTAGTGGTTGGCCTTGTGGCAGTTTCACATTTTTTTAAGGAACAAGGCACTGAAAGCTGCTTAGTGGGCCCTGCGGTGCAGATTTGCATTTCACCACTCAGGGAATTACAGCAAGCGAATGAGCAGGGAGGGGTGACTGTGGGGGATTAGGGTTGTAACAGGCTTAAGAGAAAGGTTGAAGGATATTTCTGTGGCATCTAATTTGAACTAGCAGCAGACACAGTTCAGTTTTGTGTGTCTGTGAATTCTCCACCACCTGACACACCCCATCAGACAGAGTTAATACATGTGGATTAAGTATATAACACTAGATTGGCGACAAGTGAGGCACTCGCATTTAGACAACAGGGCACTAACTGACTAACTCGAAATACAGGCACAACTTTAAGCATATTTTTGATATTTTACTGTATTAGCTTTACTTGTTTGAGGCTTGGGAACATACATGGCTCGCAAATAGCTACAAAGCAGGTTAATAGGTTAACTTGCTCAAAATATATTTTCACCTCTGCCCAGGAGGTTGTGTCTGTTTGTTTTTTTTATTTCTCAGCAGTATTACCCAAAAAGTACTGAATCAATTTGCACCAAACCTGGTGGAGGGATGGCGCATGAACCAGGGAAGAACTCAATACATTTTTGGTGCTGATATAGTTAAAATCACTTTCCACAATGTTGCAAGTTAGAGCATTTTTCAGACATTTTCATCAATATTTCACCTTGGGGGAGGTATGCACTCTACTGAATACCATTCTAGTTTGAGTTTGAAACACTCAATTCCTATAAATTTGAAAGGTGAAATGTATTCCAATAAAGACATGTTTTCATGGTGGTGAAAAAGGGGGCAGAACATCCAAATGTCAAACCATTCCTGCAGCATAATCCATTTCTACAATGCAAAGTGACCAAAGCATATGTTCTACTATGATGGAGCGAACAAGAATTTTAGTTAGTTATAGTTACAACTTGTTAATTACAGTAAATCATGACTTAATAAGTATGATTCAATGCCATACATCCATGAGTAACACTGTACATTTGGTCAATGCATTATCAAATGTTTTAGCATTTGCTATTGCACTTTTAACATGTATGCCACTGATGTCACACATAATCAATCAACCAAAATTATTGAGGAAATACACCAAACAGATTAATGTATGAAAATTTAATGTGTTTTTCTGTAGTGTAACGTGAATATATGAAATTCATAGCAGAGACATTTTATCCATCTGCCAAATAAAATGCTGTGTGACTTAATAACACCTGCTGCCTACAAGAGGAGACAGAAAACTTAGGTAGCAAAGTGTATTATCTGGTGCGACAACAGAGGATGCATGGATGTAATTAAATGTTGGATTAGTATGATGTACAAGTCTCTTTGGTTATACCTTAGAGAGGAAATGGCATTCAAGAAGAAGCAATATGGTAATCCATAATTTCTATTGAACTGTCAATGTTGTCTTTTCCCTTTTTACCAGGAGTGAGTATTTCAGCCAATCAGGATGTGGAGACAGACATGGAGACCTTCCAGATGGAGATTGATAAGGAGAGCAAAAAGTCTATGTTCAGGACCAATGGCGGATCCTACTGGACTCTGGTGACTCATGGAGAGATCCAGTCCACTGCCACAGAAGTGTAAGAAGCTCTTGTAGCTTAAAAAGAAGAACTTTGTTGTATGTTTTAACATATCTCTTACCTGAACCTCTTCATCTGCCCATCCATGTCTTTTTTTCTCCCCCAGAGAGGTCAACACAATGTTTGACATTGAGTGGCAAGGACAGAGGGTGGCACTCAAGGCAAGCAATGGAAAGTATGTGTGTACAAAGAAGAATGGACAGCTCTCAGCAGTCAGCGATACCGTGGGTAAGAGCTTTCAAGCAAGCCACTTGAGATTCAGTGCTGTATTTGTCATGGGTACAGCTTTTTTTTTAAACCTATGCACAATAGATGAACAGTGTTTATCCTTCATTGCAGGTGATGATGAATTATTCCTGATGAAACTCATCAACCGCCCTATGCTGATCCTCCGTGGAGAGAATGGCTTTGTGTGTCACCACAAGAACTCCAACACTCTGGATGCAAATCGATCTGTCTATGACATTTTCTCATTGATCTTCAACGACGGCGCCTACAATGTAAAAAGTCAGTGTTTTGATGTGTGCATAACACACTAAATTTCCGCATAACAATCAATACATCTGTATCCTGTTTTTATAGATATTGAGCATCTACTAGAACAATAGTTGTTCATTTAAACAAATGGCTGAAATATATTCCACTTATATCTTTCTATAGGTGTGAATGGAAAGTTCTGGTACGTCTCTAGCAGTGGCCTAGTGTGCTCGGATGGGGAGAAGTCAGAGGACTTTTTCCTTGAGTTCCTGGAACATGGACGCATCGCCATCAAGGGCACCAATGGCAAGTACCTTCGTGGGGACCAGGGAGGCACACTTATGGGTGATGGTACATCCGTTGATGCATCTTCTCTCTGGGAATACTGATCCTCTCAATAAGAGTCATCAAAGAAGGCCCAAGATGTGGGTGCAGGACCCGCTTGTATCAGCTCATATGAAGCAGACTGACCGGGTAACATTTTCCTGCCTGTTTTTATACTAGCTGCCAGGTGCACAATCCCATGGTTTGTTTTTGTTTTTTTAATTGGGAAGAAAAGAACACTATAGGAAAATATGTGTGTTTTTTCTTGTGAATGTCAAATGTTTTGTCTTTCAAATGACAATGCCAACATCAAGCAACACAAACTATGTGAAAATGTGTAATTTCACAAATACGGTATAAGAAAGTGACTGTCCCAATTGTTTCATACATATTTTGTTAAACATAATATCTTTCCAGGCAGCCACACTGGTCACTCACTAAACAGAAAGAAATTTAACAAAGTGTGTTGCTCCATAACTCGGTTTGTTGCTCGCGCTGACATGTTTAGCCCATTCAGAATGCATGTCCATGAATGGCAAAAAAGGAATCTTTAATCCTTCTGTTTCTGATAAATTCCAATGTCTAAATACACAAAGTGTCTCAAAAAGTTAGAACACCTTTGCAGGTTTTCTGTCTATAAAAAAACAGATATACCTCTTCTGACACAACAGCCCTCAACAACATTCACACAAACTAATTGAAAATCAGTCACAGGGAATGACAGATCAGTGTGGCTGCATCCTCAGATTTAGTTCAGGAAAAACAGGGATATCCATTTATGGACACAAAAATAACCTCATTTGGTTTAGGTGGACATTATTTGACGATGATTATCTGGATCGTACATCTATAACCTCTTTCAACAACCCCATTATGTTTACAGCTTTAAAATGATTTCAATACTTTGATATGTTCTATAACAATATGATCAATGATGTAATTGTGTGTGGTCATTGGTGCCACTCTAAGCAAAGGTAATGCATCATTGTCTTCAAAAACAGCAAATGGCTGATGCCAGTGGCGTTTTCATTTATCTTAATGGACCATTTACAGCTTCTTTAAAAGCAAAATATAGAGCAAATGAAGTGGACAGGAGCAAATAGACTACTGTATCAGGCACCTTTGCAATGCTGAGCAATGCATATCCAAAGAGGACTTAAGTCAGCGTCACTGCAAACACAGAAATACAATAGAGATACGTAATACATATAGAAATACAGAGATCAGACATGTTCAGGGAGAAATGTCAGTAGTAATGTCATATATCCATGTCAGGGGCAAGCAAGAAATCAAAGGGGGAGCACATGTAATCATCTGATGGACTATTTATCATTTTTAATGTACCAGGGGTGAACTCAAAAAGTGCTTCGCTGGTGTTCTGCCTAGGGGCCTTAAACCATACTGCACTCTATATCCCATTATACCCTGTTCTCATGTTCAGAGTTGGGTGATAAGATTAGAAAATATAATGTATTTTGATAACAGATATTTTTGATTAAGTAAGATTACTTATTGGAATACTTGTGAGTGGAATGAGACAACTCATTAGACAATTAAAACTGAAATCCTATAAAACATGATGCTGAAGCAAATGTGTTTGAATACAAGTAATGCTTTTTCTCTGTTTACCTGCACCCAAGATGAGAAGATGCAATGAATTTTTATTTGTGAAATGAGTGCTTTGTACACTCACTTTGCCCAGCTCCAATGTGTCCGCACTCTGCTCCCTCAGACAGCTTTGGAGTTGATGGAAACCAAGTTTCACTTCACAAAGCTGGGCTATCTGCTTATACTCTGCTTCCAGTCTTTGTGCACAGCTAGGCCAATAACTTCCCACTGAAATCAATATGAATCTTCTCATCTAACTCTGGATAAGACAGCAAAAGACTGTATTTCACAAAATGATGGAGTGTTCCTCTAAGTAACCTACCTAGCACTGCTTTTGTAAAATGTGATCAGTAGCCTGTAGTTGATCCCTATCCAGTGCAGCCCCTTTAAAGAGGGAAGTCTTATATTGTGACTCTCACATTACTCACTGAACTGATTACATACACCAGACTAGGGGTGGGCAACCTGAGAAAAAGATCATATGACAATGTTTTTGGGTAGGATTGCAACTCACAATCTGAATCGCATAGATTTACTTGAACTCATGCTCAACTCGTCAAGGACTGCCATCGCCAGCTACAGTTGCTGGTTAACAGCGATTGAACTTTCAAAAATTAAATAGCTAAATACAGCAGTTTTTAAATGGCACAACCTATGTGATTCATCTGAAAAATAGATCATATGCCACAGTATGATAGTCCACGAAATAAGATCATCAGGTCACCCACCACTACAACTGACACCCATCAAATTTCTACGGGCACAAGCTGCCCACACTTTTTAGAGACAGATGTTGGTGTGCAGTACAGAGCACAACCTGAACCTGTATGCAATTTATCCTGTAGATCTTTGTCATTACTTCCCAGGAAGAAATAAAATCTGCAGTAGTGCAAGAATAATATCTTAACCAATGATTGTGTGATGTATGCAATTTGCAATAATAGAGAAACTTTTTAGAAAGCAATGTCTAAAAGGCTTGGTCACCTATGCATTCTGTATCAGCTCTATATAGAGCCTCTGGCCATATTTTAGAATGTATTTAAAACATACATAGATATTTGTTGTTTTACTAACTTTGTTTGCTGATATGATTTTTGAAAATGTTGATAACAATAAAAACTTGACAACATCTTTGTTGACTTCGGGACTATAATTGTATGCAGTGTTATGAAAATGTGTGGCATCTCTGATTCAGTAGTTCAGATGGCAGAGGGGGTCAGTGGTTGGTAACTTGGCTACTGCTGTCTACATGTAAAAGTGTCCTTGAGCAAGACACTGAAGCCCAAGTTGCAACTGTGATTGTACAGATGTATCGAATTATTCTAATGTGATGTGCAGGAGTAAGAAACACCCTACAAACATCTGATGTTTGCAACTAAGAATTAAAAGTATAATTAATTCAATGTATTATTTTCTATCACTAATATTTTTGTTAGTTACCTGAGACATGAAGGAGAAATGACTCAACAGCAGACATTTTGACTTGTAGCAGGAAAATCACAAGTGTTACTAATAATATTTCATGATGGTTCTGTTCTATTCAAGTTTCCATCCACCTGGTTTTATGTGCATGTTTGATCTGTGCATTAAAAAAACCTGAGTGGAAATGCTGGAAATTTTTTTGAGATGTCAAAATACTGCAAAAAACATTTTATTACTTGGCCAAGGTGAAAAAGTTGATGTATCGTCAAAAACATATCTCTCTGAACTGTAAAGTTCCTCAAATTAATGCATCAAACAAGTATAAATGCCACATTTACGTCATGTTTTCTACACTGTTTTTCACCATGGTTTGACTGGTATTCTTTGATTAAGTCATCTCGTGCATCCTCATGGTTAAATGGCACCCGACTTGAGAATAGGCGCCATCTGCATGAAAACCTGACTCATGACAGAGTGACAGTGAGCCAGCATCTACAGTACCAGAACCTTAAACAAAAAACTTTTGATATATGACCTATACTTTGTCAAGAACAGAATCCAAAAGCAATGCTAACTATTGTGACCAGGATGCCAAAACATACTCTTCACAAGCATGTGGCTGGTGAATTTCAATTTCCCACCCCAAACATAGTCTATCTTTGTCAGCATTAATCCATAAACTCATCCAAGCAGTGTGGGCTTTTCAGTGTGAGGCTTTTCCCATTTGCTACACAGGGTGGCAGTGTGTACCTCTCTGAATTCATTCTCTTTTACAGCCAGTAATAGTCAGTGACAAGTGCTCTGAAAATACCATATCCTGCTGCAATGACGACAAGCACAGATACCTATTAGCAATCCACCACACCATTCACACTTTCACTTAAATTCTGTCACTTGCAGAACACAATATATAAATGCCCTCTGGAAAAAAAAAATAGACATGCTTTCACAGTAGGAAGTCTTCCAGGCTCCTCATCATCACCTTCTCAAACAGCTTCATAGTGTTTCAAACTCCTTATCCACTACAAAATGGTACACCCATAAACACACACACACACACAATCTAAACTTTTCTCAAGCACAACACATTTTAAATTAACACTTTGCCTCTTCTTGTTTAAATCTATAATTACACTGGCAGACGTTTTATTTGAAAATCGCAGCCCATAAAGGCCCTGCTCACTAGCCCCGATCACTGCACACTACTCAATGAACTGCAGATGTTTTAACAGATTAACTTTCTTCCAACGTGACAAAGACTCTGCTTTTGGCAAAGCATATCAATTGTGCAATGACTGTCATAAAAACCAGAACACAAAGATTAGAGGTCAATATGCATGTTTCTGCTGTAATAAAACACTGGCTAGATTTATCTGTATTGGGCTACTTGTGCTAGGTTTCTTGTGGATTAAAAGCAAGTGCTTGTTTTAAACAGATGGCTGAGCTTTTATGCAAAAGTTTACACAAAGTTCAGCCAGCTCCTTGGATCAGCCACGAAACTCCAGTGAAACGAACACAACAAACAAATACACTCATGACACACAGTTGTTGAGTGTATACACAGGCTGGTTACATAGCTAGATAGATAGATAGATAGATAGATAGATAGATAGATAGATAGATAGATAGATACTTTATTAATCCCAAAGGAAATTCAGGATCCCAAGGGAATTAGAAAAAAAGTCCACATCAGTGAAATCCTCAGAGGATCTTTCTTGGATCCACTGACACAGAACAAATACACAACATAACTATACATATTATGGAATGCAAATTATATTTAGGGGCCATTTCATTTTGGAAGCTTTCAGAGACAAAGGAAGGAAGATTTCCTATGCCACAGATAAACCTCCGACACCTACCTACCATTCTAAACTATTGTAATCCATAATGAATTTGGTGTAGAGTGTGGGGACAAAATACAGCAATTGAAAATGGGACAAACACCCAACTGAAACCCTGCACACTGAAATTTGTAAGAGCCTCAGAGTCCACTGAAACAAAACACACAATTAATGCTTCGCTGAAATAGGCCAATTTCCAACTTAATTAGGTAACAAAAAGAGCCATAAAATTATCTAAACAACTTAAAGCCATCAAGGCCAGCTCCACCCATTAAAAAGCTACAAAGATGAAAAGATGCCAAGAAGTCCTCTCAGCTCATGGCCTCAATACAGAGTCAGTCCTGCCAATGACAAAATATACACACAGACAGACTCAAAGTGAGTGGCTGAATGACACATTGGTTTCCTGTGTAAACAGAGAAAACCGGCCAGGAGAAAGAGTGGGTTCTGTTATCAGAACCAAACAACAGTTCATTTCTGTCGTTTCCTATTCTTACCTTCTCACTCACTGTTGGTGCATCGCGGTGCCCTCGCTGTCTTCCACAGGTTGGATATAATGTGCCTCGAGTCCATCTGACCTGCATTCTTCAAATGACTCTGCAAAAAACGGAGTAGAATTAGTGATCTACAACATCACAACATAATTTGCTTAGGAATATATTGTGTCATGTCAACAATGCTTTACTGGTTCAATGTTAGCTGTGGACAAAAGCCACTGTTGTAGCTCAACATGCAAACACAAGAACAGACCGATACCAGCAAGACAAATCTCAAAAAGCATGTCCACTGCACTGTATGTGCATTTGTAATGACTGTTGATGGATGTAAGTTGAAAGTTCAAACTAACTGTTGTGACAGAAAGGTGAACCACTAGCTCTTCTGACTGATACTTCACAATAAGCCAGCAAACCAATGCAATCACCCATCTGCTGAAATGAGGGGAATTACTCGTGGTTGTATGCCTCTGCCAATCCATCAACTAGCAGGCGGTATGGTCACAATCCCCCCCTCTTTTCTTGAGATACAGTGTTGAAGTGTTTTTGCAGAACATTATAATGTCAATGTGAAGTTGACCTTTGTCCTTTCGGATAGATGCATCATTTGAGTGATGACCAAAAAACGTGTTTTTGCATCCCTGTCAGTTCATCCTTGAGTCCTAGTGAATGTCTGCATCAAATTTGAAGCCATTCCCTCCAGCCATGGCTTTCAACGCCGCAGAGGCATCAAAATGTAAAAAAAAATAAATAGATGTAGCAATTCTTGTTGTTAAATTTGCTAACAGTAATCATAATGCAGCAGTAGTGTTATGGTGATTAAACCAAGCATTTTATCTATAATATTCATCCTTAAATGGTTGTTAAATTAAAGCAAGACAAAGCTACTTTTTATCAAAAATTATTGACAATAGTTTCTAATAGTGAGTGTTCCAAATATTTTAAGCAAATTTCTGAAAAGTCTGCAAGATAAGATGTGTTTGCATCAACTGATGTTCCATGTGAAAATACTCAAGAGCACTTTAAAAAATTACATAATTACCTGAGCCTCAACAGCTCTGACACATCATGACATTTCATTGCCTGCTTTCCATCTAAGATAGCACTTGAGTTATTCTAATGAAAGAATCTGCAAATCAAGGGGTCAGTGAAGATATAAGCCTATGGTTCTGTTTATTTGTTTGGATATAAAATTGCTGATTTAGAAAAAACTTTCTGCCACAGCTTCAATACAAAACACAATTGTGGGTCTTTTACTTTTTCTGTACTGTGGCCCAGACAAACACTGTTGTTTTAAATTAGAATTTCATAAAAACATGTGTTGTGTACAGTCTGTCTTTTTTGAAAAGAAAAGAGTAAAAATAATATAAAATCATCATCTGTGTTTGTGAGAAATCATCATGTTGATTAGAAGTCCATCCTATTACAGAACTGAACACTACTCTGATAAAAGACTGTTCACTCAATAATCATGAGGGATGATCCCAAAGACAGACTCTGCATGTGACAGAGAGGTCACCTGTCTAAGAAGATGGATATATTAGTCTTCATGAATACATAAGCAGTTGACACTGGTTGTCTCTCACACAGGGGTTCATCTCTGCACTCTGAACTAAACACAGAAATGAAATTAATTCCACTTCAATGCATGGTTATTTGTTGCAATATCTGAATTCCCTACATGTCACAGTGGGTGCATCTGTGGAGACAAAACTGAAAATCTGAAACTTAACTACAAATAGACTGCATGGGTCTGGCAAAACTGCAGTGATCACAGTGATCAGGAGACACTTTATTTCACATCCTTCACTTGACAAATCCATATTTCCCTCTCCTTGATGTCTGATGGTCATGTATAAAAATAAAGTTATTTGTGAAAATGGCCACAACCCAGTACAAGAGGTAATTCTACCCTTGAATAGCTACAGTATTTCTGACTAACAGCAGCAACCTCTACAGAAATTAGTTTGGTTATGTCCTACTTTCTACCAACTGAAAATGTCACAGAGTACAGAAACTTGAGAATTTAAAAGGACTGAACAGCACATTGCATCAGTTAATTGTTTAGATGCATGCTATATCGGAAGTGGCTTTAACTTGGTTGCATCACTTCCCAGCTGTGTCACAGCGCTACTCAAAAACATCAAGTACAGCATGTAACACAAATGGCAGATATCAGGGACAATGCTACACTCAGGTGCCAGTTTATTAGGCACACCTAGCTAAAACTAGTGCAGTGTAACACAACAGTCCTTCAATGTAAGCTACAATCATGAAGGTAGAGGTGTTTCTGTTACTTAGGCTTCTCTCACTCATATAAACTGAGTGAACAATAATTGAAGCTGCTGTCAGTATATCACAATACAGCTGAGCAGCACCACAAACTACATCCAGCAAAATGAAGGTATGATTTATTGCACAGCTGACTGCATCAGTTTTTAGCTAGATGTACCTAATAAACTGGCAACTTGGACACCATCACCTTGGACTGACAGAAACTAAAATGGATATTTTATTCTATGTTCTGGCATTTTATAGACTAATCAATTTGGTTGTCTGATAAACTGATCAAGATTGATTGTGATTGGTGGTTGACTGTACGTGCATTGACTGTTGTATCAGACAGACTTTTCCTGTAGATTAGTCATGGCAAATGAGAACCATGCAAGTTTTCCTTTTGTATCAAACAGTGAAAATTACAACGCTGAAACAATTTGTGCTACAGCTGTACAACATAATGTTAACCCCCTATACATGACAAATTAAGATCTGAGTTTTATGATTTCATGTCCATTGTTCTTACCAGTTCTGATATAAGTATACAACTAGACGGTGGACACATGGAAGGTAAAATAATTAACCTGAGGTCTGAGGAATTTTAAAACCTAGTTGCTTGCCTAGTTTGCTTCAATCTTGTTTAACATGAAAAACTATTACACCAAAAAGTGTAGAATTACACTTAACTTTATCACTTAAAGGTTTTGTGGGTCTCTGCACAGTGCAATCGTAAAGTAAAAGTAAAACCAGATCCAATCTACAACAAAACTTGGTAAAAGATTTAATTTCCTGTCAGACAACAACACACAACATACAGCCAAGAATCTAACACATGCAGTAATAGCTTCAAAATATCCTGGAGTAGTGACCAAGTCAGAGTCCAGACCTCAGAACAATTGAGAATTTTCTGGCAGAAATTACTTTTCACCCATGGTCCCTGTGCAACCTGAGAGAGATTGAGCAGTTATACTACAAGAAACAATGAGACATGGGGGGTGTAGTGTCCAAATTTGCAAGACTCATAAATCTACCCTCATACAGACTCCAGGCTAAAGGGTACATACTTATGATACATTGGTGTATTTTTGTTGCAAGGCTGCTTAATTCATGTCATTGTGTGTATGTTTGTTTTTAGGCGCGACAATGACAAAAAAAGGGCTTAATCACATCGACTTCAACTGTTAAATACGTAGCCTACCTTGGAGTTTGATGTTAAAGTTAGCTTGTTAGTTCAGATGTGCATCTCTGCGTCTCTCGTTATTTTTGCGTTATTGTTCATCATATAACGTTAACTGTCCAACTCAAATCTTTTAAACGTTTTCTTAGCTTATATCCCAATCGGGTTACTGGCCACTTTACCACCAACACAACACTGAAATGTCTTCTATCCATTTAGAGGATCGTCAATTATCAATGCTACTCCGCCTACAGGACTCCTCCGGTATGACAGCTGTCAGTGCCTGCTCATTAAGTACAGGTGTAAGTACTTTAATTAATTAATTATTTGATGTAACCAAGGTCATGCTAACCGAATTTCTTAATAGTAATAATTAAGAAAAGCAATAATCTTTTAAGCCATGTGGACTTTTATGTTATTGTTATAATGTGTAGGCACATAAGGCTTAAATGTTGATTTTAATTGATTAAGTCTGGTTTGACCTCATCGTAAACTGCCTTTTCGTTTAGCGTGCTACTATATGGGTAGTATAATGACAAAAGTGTAGGGTCAGTAGTTGTCTAGGCTATATCTGGTCACAGTAGCAGCCACAGTCACCGTTAAAAACAGGATACAATTGGGTTAGGCTACAGTGAAGTAGTCAAGTACTTGAAATGACTGAACTATGGCCGGATACGGGCTATTTTATATGCAAAATATATACGCACCCTCACAACACGTTCATCGGTTAGAGATTTATTTTGAAACACAGCACCGGAAGAGTGGTGTTTTATTCCAACAGCTAGACACTGGATCAATCCAGGAGCGCCACAGCTGCGGTCAGCCACAGTCAGTGTGTTTAATACTGGCGCAGAGAAATGCGCATTTCTCTTATATTATTTTTATTTATTTATTTATTCTTTTTTTAAAAAACTGGAAACAATAAAATGAAATGTGGCTTTTCTCAGTTTTCACCCTAAACTACATTTTGGCCATGGTAGCCATGGGGAACCAGCACTTTACGAGGAAGGATCCAGCTGGACAGCTTTTACGCATCGCACATCTTGGAGCGTTGATGGAGATTACAGTGTAGAAAAGAAGAAGAAAAAACACTCCACTAAAGATTAGAGTTAATGCGCTCTGCGTGTGGACCATATATAATGAGGTACGGAGTGGTGGTTCTTTCTGCTGGGTTTACAGGTTTGCTCAGTTTTTGCCTCCTCGCTGTGGCAATTGGGACTGATTACTGGTACATCATCGACGTGAATAAGCCCAACTACACAGGTTCAGACGATCTGAGTTCACATTCTGGACTGTGGAGAATTAATGAAGGTATGTCAATTCAACATAAACCCAGTTTGTATGAGCTTTTATTCAGAGGGTATGCCGCAAGTATGGTGTGTGAGCTGTAATAAAAATTGCAATCCTTATTTTTCCAGAATAACTTTTTCACTGTTTCGCCGGGGTAATTTTGAGAAACCTTTATCATGTGGCATTAATACTGTTGTGCGTAAAACGCCCTGAGGGTTCTTAAGGTTTATTGTTTCGAATTAACTTGCAATAATTGTAATTCCGCGTGTGATTGCAGGCTTGTTTTGATTCGTGCAAATAACAGTACTATTGATCTTCTCTGATGTGGACAAAAAGGAAAGATACCGTCTGATGCTGTTTAGGTCTAACATTGTTCATACAGTGCATTTGTCATGGATCATTAGTCTTCGATTGCCAGCAGCAGTCCATGGCAGAAGCTTAATGTGCCTCGTTTTTCCCCCTCATCACTCCACTCTCAGGGGAGTGGAAAACTCGGGTGCAAGTGATTCTTAGTTTTGCGACACTGATGCACAGAGGAGGTGATATCCCAGTGAGTTTTGCTTGAAGAAATAAATGACACAGACAGCCATATGCAGAATTATTGACTCCTAAATAAGATTCTTAAAATTTCAGTTTCTGATTCAGCGATTATAATGAAACACAGTTGCTGCGTAAATGTGCAATAATAGATCCATGATGTCCATTTTTTTTTCTAATTAGCATTAGTAACTGTAGCAACTGTATCAGCTCCTGCAGGCAGCTGCAGGCGAACACACAGGAGGTTGCAGATTGAAAAGGTTATTTTTTGGAGTCACAGCTGCAATATCTGTTTGTTGGCTGCCCAGCTTGAGAACCAATTCATTGCTATAGTGGCACACCATAGTCCACCTAGTTAATGGCAAGTAATGAGAGAACATAGTGTTTGAGGTACTTCGAGCAGTGCTCATCTGTGACATACTGGCAAAAGCGAAACAGTCAATATCACAAATTCTAGGTGCAAAACTGTCAACACATGCAGGGGTCAGGTGCAACGTGTCCCCCAGAGGCATCTTTAATTTGTTTCATGCAGTATGTTATATTTCCCAAGATACTGATAATTATTTGTACTGCCCTAAGACAAAATATCATTTGGTATCACATTTGGTATCCTTATCTAGTTTTGCAGAGTCCTCCAGCTCGGTCCATGCAGTCCTGTCATGTGTAACCTTTTCCCTTGACATTTTCAGGAGCAAACAGGAGTTCTGTCATCCCCTCTTTCACAGCAAATATATCCTGCCTGTCAGAGGCAGAAAGGCACCTTCTTGGTGAGTGGCTTTGTTTATCAGCTGAAGTAGGAGTTGATAACTAGTGAAATTTATAAGGAAGAAAGTGATTTCTGGCAGTGGTAATTGACAGGTCTGGGTAGCCGTTGCATTTATAAGCTTTGCTGTCAGACAGTCAGATCCAGGAGACAAACTTTGAGCAAACATGGTCATTTTGCAAAGAACACTGTGAGTTTGTAATTTTTTTTTGAATAAAAGAGAATGTCCACTGTAGGCAGATTTTCATACCCCACTGACAATGAAAATGAAAACCAATAGCTTCTTAGATGATAGAAATCAATCTGAAAATCTCAACTGCCTTTGCACATGATTGTACGCAGCAGTATTGTAAAATCCAAATCCTGAATTGACAAGAAAAAAAAATCACAGATTAGTCCTTTAAAATCTTTAAGCACAGTAACCTTTTCTTGATTGTATGTAGCACATGTGTGTCTGCAGGCTTACACAGGGTGGTGGTCATCGTGCTGCCCCTTAGCCTGGTCCTGCTGGTGTTTGGCTGGATCTTTGGACTTGTCAGTTCGTTGGCCTACAGCCCCAACTTGCTGGCTGGATCAGCAACGTACTTTCTCTTCTGCAGTAAGTTCACACAGAATTGCTGTTGTCTTTATTTTCTTTTTGTTTGTTTTTTGTTCTGTTTTTTTCCTTAGCCTTCTGTAGCAATGGCATATGCTCTGTGCTTGGCTGGTCTGAAGCATATCCTTTGCTTGGTATGTAAGTAAGATGTACAACGCAAGAGAAAGTGCGTGGGTGGATCATCATACACATGCAATGCAAGTGTATGTGTATTTGTGTGTGTGTGTGTGTGTGTGTGTGTGTGTGTGTGTCTTCACTTAAGAAACCTTGGAAATTCCATTTCAGCTGCTCTCACTCACTTCTGATTCACTTCAGACTAAAGGCAACAGCTAGAGGCTCATTTCAGCCTTTCTAGATATCAACGGTATAATTGAACAGCTATACTTATTGTGTAAATATTATATCTTGCAGTTGACTTGAAAATACTTTCGTATCTGCAGCTACATATTAAATATCTCTGTTTGGACATTAAAAGCCCCAAATGACTTAGTTAAGTCGAGTTAGGTAATGATCCTTGTGTTCTCACACGGTTAGAGTCGGTGGTGATGGGGATTTTATGGTGAAAAGGAAATAAGACACAAAACACTGTTAGACTCGTGTGACATGTGCAACACTTTTGCCTCTGTATTTAATCTGAAGTTAAGAATAGACTCTCCATGATGGACTTGTGGCATTCAGATGCAATTATAGTAAGTTTTGACATCCTTTTCCAGATGGTAACATGCTGCAAAATGGTGTGAATAAAAATAGTTGACTTCTTAGCATATGGCAATCAGATATGCATAAAATAAATCATAGTTGCAAGCTGGTTCCTGGTGAGCCTGAGCATCATTTTAGACTGCAAACATTCACATTATTGATTACAGCAGGTGGAGTGATTGCTGATCTAGTGAAATGCCACAAAGAGCTTGTCCTTGATTGAACAATTCAGTCAGACTTCCCCTGTGGAATCATCAGTAGACTCTCTCTTGTGCTATTCCCTATAAAATATCAAGAAAATAACAAAAAGGAAACTCTCTTTTTGTAGAAATTGATTGTGAGCAAATGGCACATTCGATATACATCTTTCCAAAGTGTAATTGTGATTGCCCTTGAAATAGTTCATATGATTTTGTATCAGAGCATACAAGAGAATATTGAATGCTCAAAATTATAAATTGAACCAACACAGCAGGAGTTCCAAGATAAAACTGACACTGAGCAGAAAATGCCCTTGGTTTGACCTAACCGTGACCTGATCAGCTGGTTCCTTAAACAGCAGGACACGCTTTCATCAGCAATACAGTAACAAACAGATTGCTCTCTTTCCTTGACTGGGAAGGGTTCAGCTGCTGGGCAGTCACAATAAATATAGAAATATAGAATCTATCAAATAATGCATTTGCTTAGGTCTGAACTCAAAGGGAATGAGTTTGTATATCTGTTTGTGTAAGGTTGAGCGTGAATGCATGAGTCTGTCACAGAAGTTGAGGGTCTTATTGTGTTCTGCGCCATCTCTGCTGACAGACCAAGCCTCCCATGCCCCACAGTAGAGACAGCTAATTTCATGCTCTGCACAGAATGTCCTGTCCACATCTCTACTTCAAAGGACCTGCGAGCACTAAGCTCTTGCACTTTCAAACCACCTCTGATATTAGGCAAACAGAAAGAGATAATGGATTTCAATGTTTTGTTCTGCTTTTATTCCTGCTTATTTAATGCATGAGCTATCTATTTCTGAGCTTGAAATTTTAGTATGAGAGATGGTATATCCAAACACAAGTTTTATGTTGAGCTATGTTATCAATAGTTCTTTGAAATCCCACTCTGAACGCTCGCATCACGTACTGCAGCACTGATGCACAGGCCTCTGTGAATTTGAGATCTGGAAAAAACTGACCTTTCCACCTTGGACAATATTTACTACTTCCTCAGCTCAGACTCTGCAACTGAGGGTTGTTTTGAAATGCAGCCTTCAGCCTATTGAAATGTTTAAATTTCTAAGTGAGCAGGATAGATGTATAGCAAATCCAAGCTTGGACGAGACCTCCAATGGGAGGCACCCAGGTCCCGAGACCTAGTCTGTGACACCAGGGATTGGCCCGCTCAGGTCCCTGCCACCCAGTTTACAGTGCACTCCAACCCAGTGCCTGTCCAGGTGGTGGTCCCTCACCGTGGTAGTTCCATATAAATTCTTCAGGCTGTACCCAACCAGACCTTATAGGCTAAGACCCGGTCACCAGATGTTCCTCTCCAAGGTGTGGCTCCAGGAAGGTGTCCTGGTTTCCCCAATCTGGGTAAGGTGATGCAGTGGGGAAGTATGCCTTCCATCTGGTTATCATACAAGTATGTTGGAGACTATACATACAAAATGGATGTCATCTGAAATCTGGCCCATGCCGGAGCAATAATATCCTGCAAGAAAGATTGTGTTCATTGGTACTTGCACAAATAAGTGTTCTTCAACTACAATCATATATATACAAATGACTTGCTCATGTATATTCTTTCTTTCTTTCTTTCTTACCGACATATAAAGCGCACTACTTGATGGACAATGACACAAGCCCCCTGTTGCAATTTAAAACGATCTGTAATTAAGAGCAGTTAAATGCTGCAGGACACAGTGTGCAGTGGTTCTGCCTTCCATGGTGCCACACTAAAGGTCAGTCTGAATTGTACATGTTGTACCATTCGGCACAACACTCTGCATTTAAGGTATTTTGCAATTGACATTCAATGACAAGTTATTGTTGTCATCTCACCTCTGTGATAATTGTCATGTGTAACATTTCATCTGTTTGTTTGGGAACACTAAAAATCAAAACCAAAACACAGCGAAAAAGGTTCATACTTACACCACACCTTCCTCCTGTTGAGTAAAGGATCTGATTAAATGTAGAAGCATCTTGCAGGAATAATTTGCAAATGAATGAGAAAAATAGCTTTTCTTGAAAGTGCTTTAAATCATTAATGCTTGAAGATTATACTAATTGTTTCTCATTAATGGGCTAACAGGTTTAAGTCTACATCATCTAATACTATCCACTTGGTTGTGTGAAGAAAATTGGACTGTAAAAGATTATTTGCGTAATGCATTATTACCTTAATGACCTCATTGCAAAAGGTGGTTAATGGCAATTATGGTGTGAGCCTCGTTCTTCATTTCAGTGCCTCAAGATGGATCCATTTTCATATTACAGGTACACGAGAATGTGTTGAAATCTGGAGGGTTTCTCCAGTGGTACCATCTGTCTGTCTTTGTGCACCAACAGGTCTTTTCACGCTTTCCGGGGTCAGCATTTACATCAAATACTCCAACCAGGCCATGGAGGAGTTCCAGCAGACCGTGTCCCCGGAGAACCTCGCCTATGTGGACGTGTCCTTCGGCTGGTCCTTAGCCACAGCCTGGCTCTCCTACAGCCTGGAAGTGGCCACGGGACTCCTGCTCATGCTCGCTGCCAGGATAACTCAAATGAAGGGACATTATGACTCTGGTGTAGCCATCGCCATGTTATAGATTGTGGAGTGAGTGAAGCTAAAAGGCCCACAGGTTGGATGGTATTTTATTGCTGTTGTTATTCATTTATTTTTGGTATGGCTTAGAAGGGTATTGTAGTCCAACAAGGGGGTCAAGGACCAAGACAAAAAAATGTAGATGCAAGCTGGCTTTACGTACATAGATGCTGAATAAGTAACACTGCTGTACATCTGTTTTTCATTGTTTTCTCTGGTTTGTTGTGTCGCTGGCTACCTTTCATCCTTTTAGTATCAATTTCTGTCCATTGTCCCAGTCCACAATGGTGTTATAGATGTGGTCACAGAAACACATAAAAAAGAGGCTAAGCTTTCACAGAGTAATTGCTGCAGATTAGATGAATGCAGAATTATTATTTGGTTCTTCTTTTAATGTGTTTCAGTAATTTCAGCCTTGTGTTGCCATATTCGAGTCCATATATTTGTGTAGCTAATGACTATAATATTGCAAAGGCAATTCTGTCACAGTCTGGGGTTCACATTTTATTATATAATATGTTTTCTGTGAGATGTGTTGTACTGTATTTGAATACATATCCCAGTATATCATTCAAGTGAAAACATTGCTGATTCTGCAGCAAGCAATAGAGCCACACAGACTCAGCAAAATCAGAGGTGGTATAGTTTCTAGTATTTCGTAATAGACCAGCTGCTGCATTGTTGCTCCATATTCCGGAGTAATTTGCATTTTACAGCTTTTAAAAAACAGTTAGCATTTGCTTTATGTGGAAGTTAAGACCATGTTGGCTGCTGAGTGTCGTGACTTTTAGAGAAACATCTAAAATGTCAGTTTGTCCCTACTGCTAACAACCTTCTGTACCCATCGACTGGTTAATCCATTAATCATGGGAACGGGGCTGAAGATAAGTGCACTCTTGGGGATCATGCAAGCTGTTTCGGCAGTACAGAATTTGTGCATGTGCTGCCTTCTTAGCTGTAGTTAACAGCTAGATATTGTACTATTCTCTCTGTGCTGTCCAAAATGAGACGTTTCCTCTCTGCATACTGGCAGTAAAAAGAGCACTGTAAAAATACAACATTTAGCACTTTGGAATGCCATAGTATGTATTGCTGCTGTTGTTGTTGTTGTTGTTGTTGTTGTTGTTGTTGTTGTTGTTCTCGTTTCCCAATGATTACAAAGACCTTGCTTATGCTTTCATAACTGATTCTTTTTATTGTTAACTGTGACAGAAAAGCAATGAAACATCCATCCAGTTGTAGCGTGAATACATACTGTATGGAAAAAGAACGCATTGATCAAATGATTCCCAATATCAGTGACACACTCTGACTGTAATGAAATTTCCCCAGTGTCCTGAAGATTTTTGTGTTGTGAGACAATAAGATCATCTAAAACATTATGGAGATGTGTTCGTCATGCACTGTGTGTATTTTCTATTTACAACACAATTTTGCTGTTGACTACAATACCCAGCCACTGAGCCTCAGGTTAAATTGCCTGCCTCTGAATGTACATGAAGCGCACCATGAGTCAGGCCAGACAGAAAAGCGATTGTGTAAAGAATAGCCACTCGCAGCCTAGAAGAATTCAAAAGTGTCGGCTTAATATGTTTTAACACTACTGCCTATAAAAGTTACATCCATTCCAACATTTATTTGCACATTCAAACCTTTAGAAACGCTGTGACAATAGTGAAATTTAACACAAAGATGGGCTCATAATATTCACTATATTACTACCTTTTGTGTTGTACCATGCAGTAAAAGGTGGGAATGTGCCAATAAAAAAGGTGAAATAAGATCATGCAGGTTCCAAAGCATCCAAGCGCATGCATTTAAAGAGGGAACATAAAAAAAAAAAACTTAAAAAAAAGAAAGAAAACTCTACAGGGAACTCATTAAACTTTAGCCATTCCAATACTAGTGGCCTTTGCCATCCATAAAAATCACTCACATCCAGGCTTTTCTGCTGGTTGTTTTTAATATGAATTTGCACAGTGCAGTGTTTTTGTATAAGTTTAGGTAATCCAGGAGAAACAATTTGTTGTTTTTAACCTTCCCATATTCTTTTTCATATGACTGAATTTAGTACAATTTTTATTTGCTATGCAAAACACAAGTGAGAATGTGAGCAATAATGCAGGGTTGAGGGGAAAGTGTTTGAAGCAGAGTATACTGCACACGGACATAATGATCAATTTTGATCAATTTTGATCATAATTGGAGGAGGCACTTGCAATGATAGGCCTATCTCCTTTTTGTATGTTCACTGACAACTTTGTCATAGAGCTGAATGATCCATAGTGTATGATGCAAGAGTTCCTGACAGCTGTACAGGAATTTTCCAAGAAACTGATACGCTTATTCAACCGTCATACATTGTGATTCATGAGCAATGACTGTATGTAGCAATAGCAGCAGTCTAAGAAATCTCAATTCAGCCCATGCTTTAGTTTTATCAAAATTCTGTTGAGAAACCACCTGTTATATATGAAGAAGAGTGCTGACTAACTGAATTGACTGAAACTGTCTAGACTACATCCATGATTTTGTCATTTGGCAAAAACATTTGACACATAGGATAGTTTAAAGGTCCCATATTATAAAAAGTGAGAGGTTCGTGTCTTTTTTGATTATAAAGCAGGTCTAGGTTATATATTAATACTGTGAAAGTATCAAAATGTTCAGTCCACAGAGAAATGCACACAGTCTGTATTCAGAAACTGAGCCTTAAAACAAGCTGTCAGGACTGTCTGTCACAACTATACATGCACTGCTCTCAGCCATGCCCCACTATCCAACCTTGCAGGATTTGGTTTCTCTGAGTGTTAAAATAAAATCTGCTATATTTTTATTCAATCGCTCAGAAAACAGGCAGCCACTCAGAGGAGAGGCTCTGAGCTTCGCTTCTGATTGGCTTACTGACCTGTTGTTGCTAGAGCTCCAGAGAGAAGCCTGAGAAAGGAGATGTAAATCTTATGGATATCAACACTTTAAATAAAACACCGGAAAAGTGCAAAATATGGGACATTTAAGAGTTGCAGGCCAAAATGTGAGATGCACTTTCAACTAATAGTGTTCTAAGTGGAATTTGTGACCCCAAGATGTGAGCCTGCAATAAAGGCACTTCTAAAGTGCACTGCTCCACACTGCAGGGGGAACAGCAATGTTTTGCCAAGGGTGCTCATGGTAGAGATAGACATTATATTGAAAGGTGTGCTTATGTTTGCCTAAATGTGATTTGCAACATGATTTAATGTGACTCAGCTTGTGAATCAGAATCCAAACCATGAAACATTGTGTCCACTCAGCTGTTTTTTTGGCAGCTTCCTGCCCAGTAATCCTCTTTCAGATGGTACAGAGAGCAGAGAGCTATAAAGGAAAGACCAAAGTGCAGTGGCTGAGTCTTGCAGCCGCCCTTTTATATATTAGGCCTGCTGAAATCCCGTTAAACTTTTATGGAACATAATAATTCAATCCGCTTTGGCAGAAGAACACTAAAGTTGGTGCTAAGCCATTACTCTTTAGTTTGTGGCCTTGTCCTTGACAGAGTGCAGTAATTTTGACTTGGACAACCTCTAGGCTCTCAGCTTTAAGAATTTATTGAAGAAACACAACTTATTTTGTCAGAACTACTTACCTCACTCAAAACCTTTCCCTGGGCAGCTGTTTTTAAAACTCTGGACCATGTAATAATCAATGCATTTATAAATCAATCCTCTTGTTGTTGGAGAACACCCTAAAGTTTTGGACTCCTGCACAGCCTATGATACGAGGCTTAACTAGATGCTTATCTTTTCTGTGATTTCTCAAACACATTTTGATTCAGTTCAATTCAGTTAGTGTTGCTTATGCTCACCTCAACTAAAGTCTGTGAACATCATACTGTAGCTATTTCTCCATCAGACAGTTGTTGACATCAGCACTCAGTGTGGACTGGACCTTAATGTGTTTATACTGTATGTGTGTGTATATGGCCATACAACATTCCCATTATACAACATATATACTACAGAAAAAATGTTATTGTCTAAAATAATTATCTCAATACTGGTGTAAGCCATACAATCATCTAGTGATTTACTGTATGTAAGCATGTTAGTGGGTGCCATCAGGTTTCTGTCAGTAGCTCTGTCATCATTATGATGAATAGGCCACTCACTGAAATGTTACAGAAAGTGACTATATCACTGCCTCAAGGGCATCAATCCTGATCCATGTTGCAGTATTGATGAAGTGTCCATAAATTAAAGCAGACTCAAGAACAGCACAATGAAAAATATAAGTCCAGTTTGTGCTCTACAAGGTTTTTATCAGCACATTTGATTTCATATTTTATATTGAAGTCAAATAAAAACATTGTCAACACTTTGAATTAAGTAGATCACATCTGAGATTACACATTATTAAGAACTATTTTTGGAACTGGGAGCAAGACTCATTATACTGCCCTGACTATGACTTTTGTCATTTTTTTTTTAAATTTCCCTTAACATACTATCATAGATAATGAGCTGCTGATGACATTACTTGCATTCAGGTCCATTTAGATTTCCAGGAAAAGCAATGTTTTGTATCTGCAATCTTGAACCAACAATTCTTACATGAAAGGCTCTGAACAGATGCATGACATGGTAGAGTATGTATGATTGTGTAGAAATCATAAAAAATAACCCTTGAAGAGGGACCTAAAGGAGAGCTACTTTACAGCCCTTCAGATCTTAAAAGCACACCCATATAGTTGTACAGTATAGCCCTCACATACAAACACTGCACTTGCACAGTCCTTGCCACATCTACTTCCTGTTGTCTGTGTTAAAAAGCGTGTTCAGGAATTGCTCAGGCTGAGCAGGACTTGCTGAAATCCAGTTGATTGAAAAGGAAAAACAATAGGGAGAATTATTAGCAAAAATAAAGGGAGAAGAATAAATAAATGACTTTATTTGAAAAATAAATAAATTAAAATATGGAGTAATATGCAAAAAAATAGATTTATATATATTTTTACAAATATATAAATAA